TAGCAAAAGTATTACCTTGCGTAACAGTGATCGGTCAAAGTTGCCCAGTGCAAGTGTAGCTGCCTGACCGGCCCTGAGCACTCTGCACGCTGAACGATTCCTTTGGATGCTGCCGACGGTCAGCTTGTGGAACTGGCCCAGTTCTGTGGGCCCTACAACAAGATKATCCCCTTCACGGCAAATACCACTGCATGAAAAACAAACACAGATTTCATGATTAGAAAAATCAAACAAGCAAATGAAATGCTTTTCACCACACTGACCTGTACAGAGTGCCTCCCACCACTGTTCCCACCTCAGGAACTGTGTAGATCTCATCTACCTGCAATGATGCACAGGATCAATCATCCATTTATTCTGCACCAACAAGACAAGTGTGGACCACAGCTAGCTCGCCGTGTACTTGTTTAAAAAAAAAAAAACCTGCATGTTCGACTCACCTGAAACTCCGTTAGCTGCTGCATGAGCTCCTCCTGCTCCTTGCTGTTGCTGAGAGGAGGGATGATGTTGAAGAAGACTTTGAGCAAATCTAAACTCTCACCAGTCACACTGGATAGAGTGAAGATGGGTGTTATACTGCAACAACAACAAAAAAAAAGAAAACAACAGGTATTAAAATTTACAGATACAGCACCTATTTTATTACACGAGGCTAGAACAAAATGTTGGCTCATGTATTCTGGAGACAAAGTACTGCGTTTGCATCGTACTTGGGCAACTGTGCGAACTGCTGCGCTGCTGTGACGGCATCGTCTGCACTGCTAATCACCGTGGGCACTTTGTTGCAACCTGGCTGTTTCAGGACACGCTCCAACTGCCGCACCGTGCGCTCCACAGTCGCTCGCGTGCACAGGTCCACTTTACTGATGACAATGAAGATGGGCACCTTCAGAGCCATGGCGAGGCCCAGATGCTCTCTTGTGGTACCRGCTGAACAAGTCAGAGAAGACAGCAAAGCACAGCAGTTAATTATCAATTTGATGTGTCTCTTTGTAGCTCAGGCCAATAAAAACTTCCCTTGAYAATTAAGTTTAGACCAAGACCATGTATACAAACTAATAATACCAGAATTTCCCACAAAGTAYATTTTTAGGTTGTTTAGATAGTATAGAAGTACAGAAACATTAGATAACTAACTACATCCCTACTTATTTAGAATGAAAAGTAGTAAATGCTTTTGAAATAAATTACTTAGTTACATGGCAGTGATTYAACATGGTTGGTAGGCTGAGTTTATTTGTAAACACAGCTGACATTTGCACTAAAGTGATACTTGGAGTTGAGTTATATCACAGTTTCMAATATAGGTCTCACTTCTGAGCCAAAAGATTAAAGAGTAATGTCCCAATAGATCTCTTTACAGACTTAACAGAAGCCTGAAATACTGACACTTCCTATCAGATCTGCAACCATTTATTTTCAATAAATCCAGAGTAAATATGGAAAACACAATATTTAGTATTTTATATCATTTAAATGAAACAGGGGTTAGAACGTTAAAATATTAACAAGAAGCCTTTTTGACTTTTGGTTTGTCACACACARCCTCAGATGAACTCTGTGCCATACAGAGATCTATCACTGTTTTATAATTAAAGCTGTAGCTCTTAGGTTGCAAACAGTATGTCCCATCCTGTGCCATAACTAAGATAGTGTTCATTCATGACTCAGTTTCGGACAGAATGGCCCATTTCTGTGCAAAAATAAACACAATGCAACAAGTATGGAACATAAAAATTACTTAACAGGCGGACAAACAGATATATTTGTTTGACGTCATTTTGTTTGGATTTTTACTCCAACAATAACAGTTTCCTAACATAAACACCATCTAAACATAGTTAATATCTCCAACAGGCTTTGACCTGAAGTGCTACCTGTTATCTCAGAGGGTCATGTTTCACTCTTTGCCTTTTGCCTAAAGAACAGGTGACCACAGCTTTCATAGCAACCAAATGACATTTAAAGGTTTTGCTTTGAAACAAACAGTCACAGAATGCCTCAGGCTTTTTACATCATGTTCTTATTAGTGTTGACCTTCATGTTAAAGTCCCCTCTTCAAATAGAAACAGAGATATAATAGAGTCACCTGATAGGGTGGTTTTCAGATGCATCTTACATAAATATTTTAAGTAGCAGATGTTAGAATTTCTCTCAAAATATATTTATTTTTATTTATACAGYAACAAAAGTCAATAGTCTTTATCAGCGAATGACTTCCTTGTTGTTCCATTATCAGCTGCTCAGGTTTCAGAGTACTTTTCTGTGTACAGGCTTCCTGCTTTCAGTCTTCTAAAAGAACATGTCTGGCTTGGTCAAAGCACGATAATGTACCTACGAAATATCAAACAATCAAGGCCTATTGTTTTTGTTTTATTAGTAAAAATGCTTGTATTTCACTGTCAGTAATGATAAAAATTAATATTGATTTAGGTCTTTTTTTTGCTTTGGAAGACAATCTTTAATGATCAAGATTTTTCTTTTCATTGTAGTACATTCATCTGAAGTTAGTTTTGTCACTTTTATTTAAACAGGAAACAATATATTTTGAATATCTAAAATAATTATTTTCCACTATCTACACACACATACTGTACATATGTACGAATTAATCTATATGTTACTCCTAGCATGTTCAATGCTTTCTAGCTCTGGGTGCCTAATTCTAAATGAGGTTGTAATGTTGTTTCTGCAAAGTCAGCAGATTCATTTTTACGAGTCAGCTTTAGTCAGATCTGGGTCAGAACTACCTTCTTGTTGTCGAATAACAATTTTTTTTTAAATGTACTCTGAGATATTTTGGGACTAGAGAGACATGAGGAGGGGGTTAATGGAGGGAACAGCAATGAAGGCCAGGTTGGTTATGTAAGCTCAGATAGCATGTCTGCAATGTATCAAGCCACAACTGAAAAGGTCCACTACAGAATGGAGGGGTGCTGTTCAGATTGAGATTTAGTCTTATTTAAGCCTCTATGTTCAGTCAAGTGATAGTCGTGTACATTTTAACTGGCCAGCAATGATGAATTACATTTAAAATCAACTCCTAGTCAAACTAGATACCGCATAGCGGTAACATAATGACCCCCGCACGCACAAATGCACCAGAACTCAGAAGTATTTATTCCTAATAAATGTCACACTACTACTGTACGTGCATCCCAAAATTGCTTCAGGTGCGGGGGTCATAATAATGCAAACAGTGCTCACCTATTCCAGTGTTTGCACTGACGACCAGCATCGCAAAGTCTGGACAGTAGCTGGTAAGTCCAAAAATGGTGGTTTTCAGGTACTTGTGGTGACCCGCCAGATCAATGAACGTGATCATTTTAGAGGCACTCTCGCAAATTTCCTCCGCAGTCCGAGACTCACTGTAATTTACAACCTAAAAAACAAAAAAGATGAAATAAAACATCACTTAGAAATCAAAAGCAGGAGAATATAAACTTTGCAGACGTTTTGAAAGCAGGCGGTTTCTCACCTCTCCTTTACTATTGAAGCCAAGGATCTCAAAGCTGATGCTTGAGGTGCGTCCAGTCTGGATCTCATGTAGATGTCTGAAAAGGTTGAGCCTCGCTCTTCCCCGTCCATTGTCCAGTTCGCCCTGAGTTAAAACACCCAACAGGGTGGACTTGCCCGAGTCCACGTTACCCAGCACTGCCACTCGCAGGTCTAAGAACTGGAAAAAGAAGAAAATAAAGGGGGAAAAAAGTAATTTAAAATGTAAAGACCTAAAAAATATGTAAAAAAATAAAGACAAACCGTAAAAATAAAAGAGAAGTTTTGAAGTTGTAAAACTCACCTGCTGGTCATCTGGAACTTTTCGAAGGAGAACTTCAGCGATCTTCCGAGGCACATCTGAGTCATAATCCACCTCCCGTTCTCTTAAAACTGCTATGTCAGCTCCAACTCTGTGATAAATAAATAAATATATTTTTTTATTTGTTTATGTAATAGCATAATGTATTTACATCGAAGACCAACATGTTTGTTCATTTTTCAGTTTTTCAGTTCAATTCAGTGCTACATTCAAAATGTTATATACCTGAAATCAAAGACCTCCCATACTATGTAACCTAATATTACAAATGTTCACACTTTTAAATAATTAAACTATTTTCTTCCCTTTATGGCATAGGCTTATTAAATATGCCAGATTGAATATTTATTTACATCAAATTGGTAAATATTGACTCTGGGAGAAAGAAATATTATTTGTACAACAAGTCCAGATTTGAACCCATTTGATAATCCTTGAGAAGTTCTAAAAACAACTTTACTAAGTGAACCAACAATCTCATCATAAGTTTAAGATCTTGGAAAAATCGAATCCATCTTTGGATGGAACTAAATCCTGACATTGAATACAAGTATTTAAATTATGTCTGAGCAGATGTGTGCAGCAGCCAACTAAAGTCGGTCCTAGGGCTGAACGATTAATCGCATTTGCGATAATCTCGCGATATGTTAAAATTAGATTTTCTAATCGCACAGGATGTGATTTGACTGGTCACGTGACGGGAA